CCCTCTCCCTGCCAAACCCTTGTGTCCCCTCCCCATAGCACATGCAGAAATGTTGGAGTGCCCTGGGGGAGGGGTGAAAGTGGCACCAGTCCCCCTGGGGATGTGTGCAGATGCAGCCAGGAAACATAAGAGGCAAGGCCCAGGTCGCAGAGAGTTCCTGCAGGGAAATATCCACCTGGGCCAGGGAAGCCGCACCCCCCTCCCCCCAGCCTGGGTAGGGCCAGAGCTACGCATCTCCACACAGTGCAGCCAGGTGCTGTGTGCCCAGGGCCATGGTGGTGCTGAGTGCTGCCCGAGTGCTCAGCCTGCTCCTGGCCCAGCTCAGGCTTGGGCTGTCCCACGCTGGCCCCCAGCCTCACCGTGGCGCAGGAAGAGCCAGCCCAGGCAAGGCTGGGCCATGAAGCCTGCGCTCCCTGCGGAGCAGGTGTCGGGCCGTGCATCCAGGCAGACAATGTGGGGACTGCAGAGGGGTGTGGGATGGGGCTGGCCACACAACACACGGGGGCCCTACTAATCTAAATTGCCATGTGCCCAACCGCTTGCTCTGGGCAGTGTAGTGGGACCGGCTGCGCATACACCCCACCCGAACCGGCTGTACTCCCCGCCATGTGTATGCATCTGCCTGCTGCTGAGCGCTGCACACCTGCGGATCCCACCACTGTGTGAGCCATGGCCTGGGTGGTCACCCACTAGCGAGAGATCTGCTGTGGGCAGCACGTTTCATCCCTGGGTCTGCTCTGTGCGCACCCCACAGCAGGCCTCCAATGTGGGCCAGTTCAGGGCTGGCACGGTCACACGCTCACCTCCGCCAAGCCCAGGGCGTGGAGCAGGGCCAAGGGTGGGCTGCAGCCACTGTAGCGCTCTCCCTAGCTGCCCGTGAAGCGAGCTTACCTCCCAGGTGGCAAGCCCCATGGGCGATGGCAGCGAGGCCCGGGCTCGCATGAGTGGTGGGGCTCCTGGGCTGGTTTTGGGACATGATCGTGACTCCTGCTGCGAGGTGCCTGGAAAGGGCTGGGATCCTGCACCAGGGCTGGCTTCAGTCAGGCCCCCGTCAGCTGTGCTGTGAGCTTCCCCTGACAGGCAGCTCTCCCCTCCCTCCGCACCCGGCACTGACCCTTCTTCCCAGGTGTGGGGCAGCAAGAGCATGTGCTCCCCCTGCAAGATGCCAGCTCTGCTGCCCTTCCCATTGCCTTGGGTGGCCATAGGCAGGCCTGTGTTGGGCAGTAAGGCTGGCCGGAATGCCGCCCCTGGAAATGTGCTGCCCCCAAGCACATGCTTGGTCTGCTGGTGCCTAGAGCTGGCCCTGGTGATGGTTAGGATACAAGAACTTAAACAGAATGCAGATAACCTTCCAGGTTAGTGACAGATGCAGCCGTGTTAGGCTGGTCTAGCTGAAACAAAAGACAGGACTATGTAGCACTTTAAAGACTAACAGGATGGTTTATTAGGTGATGAGCTTTCGTGGGCCAGACCCACTTCCTCAGATCAACATGGAAGAAAATCGGCACAACCATATATACCAATCATAGTTCTGTCTTTTCTTCCAGGTTAGGATACTCTATAGTACTGCCCCGTAATGTTGCTGGCTTTAGATAGGCAGGGATACAGTGAGGGTGAGGAGACTAGATATGACTGACTTTTGTATTCACTTCTGATCTCACTTAGTCCAACATTAGTCTCAAACAAAGCAGGACAAAGGTTGATAATATTAACTTTCTTCAGTGGCTGGCGCTGAGACTGGCTGTAACAAAGCAGAATGGACAAACAGGTCTCACATTCCACTTAAACTGGAACCTCTAGATTGAATAATTACAAATGTTCAAGGGCCTCATAACCCTGTGCCCACTGAAGACACTGGCAAAGGTCCCGTTGACTCAGTGGTGTGGAATTAGCTCCCAAATGCCTTGACTGAAAGAATGCTACATAAGTGCTAAGTGGCTTTTGTTTCCTGCTGTGGGGGCGTTGTCACAGTATCTCAGGGCTCTGACATAGCTTGTTGCTTATTAGCAAATCGTAATGCTTTTTATTCCAGGCCAACTGTTTCCCTCCTGCAATTGGGAAGGGAGTTGGGTTTTTAGCTGATTTTTTTTTAACATTTTCTGCCATGAAGAGAAGGGAGGCAGACACCAACAGTTCCTGAATGAAACCACAGCTCTTATTTTGTGAGTCCTTCACTCTACACTGGGGTGGGAAATCTCAGACCAGGGGGCAAACCCTTGGCTTGCCTGGATCCGGCTGCTGAGCGCTGGAGCACACAATCTACTAGGCTGGGCTGCCCCAAGGCTCTGGTGTGCAAGAGGGATGTGGGGAGTGTCAGTCTCCTTCTGTGTGTTTCCTTCCTTCGGGTCAATGGCCTCCAACCCAAAAAAGGTTTCCCCATCCCTGCTCTATACACAGCTTCATTCTTGACTGTCCCCTCTCTTAACACAATCTCAATTCTGCATGTCCAGCAAAGGCCTTCGTTTCCTAGCTCGGGTGGCAGGGGGCATGGCTTTTGGGGGGTGGCAGTGTGCATGCAGACAGCAACATGCCCAGCTAGCTTTTGGCTTGGCTAAGGCTGGTGTGCTTCCATTGCCGCTGTTCCCATTGCTCTCTTAATAGAGCTTTGATGCCTCCTGTTCTTACCACCCCCCCACCCTCCCCAAGAGGGCTGCTTGAGGCCGCTCAGCAGTGTAAGCTGTTCCTTTCTTCTGCAGGAAGATGGCTGCAATCCCTCTCCAGTGCCAAGTAGGTCACTGTGCTAAAGTTGAAGCAGGCATGTCTGGCCAGCTCCTTGCTTCCCACTGGGTCCTTCTCCAGAGCAACACAGTTGGATGTA